CTCATATATGGAAAACTGAACAATTGTTAAACGTCAAATTAATGTTAGAATATTGTCAAATAAAACGTCAAAATGACGACATCTCATATGTGGAAAATTGAACAATCATTAAACTTCAAATTAATGATAGAATACCGTCAAACAAACGTCAAAATGACGACATCTCATATATGGAAAACTGAACAATTGTTAAACGTCAAATTAATGAGAGAATACTGTCAAATAAAACGTCAAAATGAAAACATTTCTTATGTGGAAAACTGAACAATTGTTAAATGTCAAATTAGAATAATGTCAAACAAACGTCAAAATGACAACATTTCATATGTGGAAAAATAAACAATTGTTAAACGTCAAATTAATGATAGAATACCGTCAAACAAACGTCAAAATGAAGACATCTCATGTGTGGAAAACTGAAAGTTAATATTAAAAATACTCGACTATCAATATTTAAAAGAAAAAAAATGCACGGAAAAGGTTGTAAAGTTTTCGTTATCTCCGAAATCCGCAGATAAATAGCGAAATTTACTCGGTTTTCCACACAGACGTCACGCAAATTCGCGATTATTAAAAATGTTTGCAACCGATAATTTACCGCAATTGAATTGGAAATTATACATGCGACCGATCTATTGTATAATAATTTCAATTTTTTTTTCCAAATGTCATCGCAATTGTTTCACGGATTGCGTGATTATGGTCGAGTAATTTGAACATTGCGTAACTGAAAATTGCATGAAAAGATGCGCAATAGAAAAACCCTTCTTTATGGGGAAAGGTCATAGTTTTGTCTTCAATTGCATGTGTAATAGTAACGGTAGATTACTGGTAGTTACTGGTGTTATTATGATTGTTGTTGTTGTTGTTTTGTATTATAACAGGAAAAGTAATGGGTTTATCGTTTTGAGGTCGCGTTCGCTGAAACGCGTCGTACAGGAAGAAGACGGTAAGAGACGAAGAAATAAAAAGGTTACGCAATCAATCGGATATGTGAACAGTTTGTGAATAATTTTGAATTTGGCACGAGCAGAACCTTAGCATTAATTGTTTCATATGTTAATGAATCGTATGTGCCGTGTAAAGTGCGTAAGAAATAGAGTTTCCGTGCGACTGTTGCGCGCGAGTCCGTTTATAAAGACGAGCGGTAGGAGTGAGTTGCGTGTCTGCTGGTTGGTGGTGTGTATTTTAGTGTGTCAGAGAGGAGCGAAGTGAGTGGTCGTGGCACAACCATCCCAACAACACCAATCACCTGATCCTATAATGCCAATTGGCCGACCGGTACTATAAACAAACACTATAGTAACCATGGCACCGAATCTCAGCAAGTTCGTCACCAAGAGCAACGGGTTGGCCGCGGCCGGCGTAGTCGCCGCCCTCTGGATCCTCTCCAGGAAGTCCAAATCGCAGTGCAAGAGCAAAAGCGGCAGCAGCAGCAGCAAAAGGTAAGTGGAAAAACCGCTTTCACCGCGTGGATTGTATCCGTTTCTCCAGGAACCGCGTCGAGGAGGACGTCAAGTATGTGCTTGCAGAGAAGAAGGAGAACAGACCAAAGGCTCAGGTCGATAGGCAGTTCTTCAAGCAGGTGGCTCAGCTGCTGGGAATTGTGGTGCCCGGTTGGACATCCCCCGAAGCAGGTCTCCTGCTGCTGGTGGCAGGAAGTCTGATTTCCAGATCCCTCTGTGACCTGTGGCTCATCAACAATGGCACCAAAATTGAAAGGTAACATTGAATATTCATAATCCAATTGGAATCATAATCCCATGCATGTTAACCTTCACCCAAGTGGATGACCAGCACAACCTTTGGCCGCCGTTTTCGCCTCAGTTTATAGCTCATTCCATTTTTTAATTACATTCGAAGTGTCGTGGAAATCGCAATGAGGCGACACTTTCATATTAATGTTTTAATAATTGCCGTGCCCTTGAAATCCTCCTTTCACATGCCCTGCATTTTCATTCAACTTAATTGCTTAAAACCTCATTGTCAAGGACCAAATGCGCTTTTACTTGGTTTTTGTTTGGATTGAGATTAAGAGTCCACTTGAAGACTAGAAAAAATAAATAAATGAAACAGACTTGCCACATTTTATCAGGACTGCAAGAAGGTTATCTCTCGAGTGGATCACACACTCACTCCACATTTCCTGATTGCTTCAAATCTATGTTCTATGCTCACACCATCAGCAAATGGCTTTTTTTTTATCCTGAACGCACTTAACCAAATGCATGCAATTGTACAATGCACCACCAGGTTTAAATTAACCCCTCATCAGTTTGTAACTTTGGTTGCCTACAACAAAACATTGCAATTAATTACCGATAGCGCCAATCACTATAATTACATTTAATTATGTAGCGATTTAAATAAAAAGTAAATGAATTACATAAATTAAGTAATCAGTACGCTTATAATTATATATTTTCAACGCGAGTTTCATTGACCTTTTCTCTTTCTCTCTCTCTTTCAACACGTATTGAGTAATCGTGCAATTTTTATAATTGGCGTTAACCTTTCGAACTCGGACGCTTGAGTATCATCGGTTGCCTATATTTAAAAAAAAAATGTTTAAGCTTCGGTTTATTGTGTAATTGATGAAAACGGATGAAGGCAATTCGAAAGTTAAATTGAAGCTAAAATTATGGCCCAAATATAATAGGTGTTTAACTATCAACATCAAAGAACTATTGGTTAATTTCAAATAAACTGAATTGAACTTTTGTATTATTGACTGAATTATTGTGTTTTTTTTCTCTCGCAGTGCTATTATTTCGATGGACAAGAAGCTGTTCTATAAGCGGTTGTTGAATTTTGTTGTTGCCATGCCTTTCGTCTCCATGGTGAATAACGTGCTCAAGTACTCGATCGGGGAGCTCAAGATCAGGCTGAGGACTAACATGACGCGGAGGCTGTACGAGGACTACTTGAAGGGCTACACGTATTACAGAATGACGAACCTGGACAACAGGATCACGAACGCCGATCAGCTGCTCACCACCGACGTGGACAAGTTCTGCGAATGCGTGGCCGACCTCTACTGCAACATCGCCAAGCCGACCCTGGACATCGGCATCTACGTGTTCAAGCTGACCTCTAGCCTCGGCGGCGGTGTTCCGTCTCTGATGCTCGGTTACCTCTTCATATCCGGCATGATCCTGACGCGTCTCCGAAGACCAACAGGAAGATTGACAGCGCAGGAGCAGAAGCTTGAAGGAGAGTTCAGACACATCAACGCCAGATTGATAACGCACTCCGAGGAGGTGGCCTTCTACAACGGGAATCTGCGCGAGAAGGCGACGCTTCTCTCCAGCTACAACAAACTGTTGGCTCACTTGAGGAAATTCCTCAAGTTCAAGATCTTGATGGGCGTCATAGATAATCTGGTGGCGAAGTACTTCGCGAGCGCTGTCGGTTTCTTCGCCGTTTCCATTCCCTTCATGTCAGCCAATCACTTCTTGGGCAAATCCTCGCAAGGCGACCGCTCCACGCTCTACTACACGTACGGCAGGATGCTGGTGAAGTTGGCCGAAGCCATCGGAAGAGTGGTGTTGGCCGGAAGGGAATTGACGAGACTGGCGGGCTTCACCGTCAGAGTGTCGCAGTTGCGCCAGGTGATGGACGAGCTGAACGCCGGCAAGTACCAGAGGACTATGGTGGCCGGAGCGGAGAACCTGAAACCTGGAGGTGGAAGGTTAATCTTCAAAGATAATCTAATCAAATTCAACAAAGTACCCCTGATCACACCCAACGGCGACGTCCTGATCGACGAGTTATCCTTCGAGATTCAATCGGGCATGAACGTTTTGGTCTGCGGCCCGAACGGCGCCGGCAAATCCTCGCTGTTCCGCATCCTGGGCGAGCTCTGGCCCATCTTCGCCGGAGAATTAACGAAACCTCCGATCGGCAAGTTGTTCTACATCCCGCAGAAACCCTACATGACCTTGGGCAGTCTCAGAGATCAGCTGACTTACCCGCATTCGGGAGCGGAGGCTGCGAGAAGGGGCGCCTCCGACGACATCCTCGAGCAGCACTTGAATCGCGTCCAACTAGGTTACCTGATGGAGCGGGAGGGCGGTCTGGATGCCGTCGCCGATTGGCTGGACGTCCTCAGCGGCGGCGAGAAGCAGCGAATCGCGATGGCTCGTCTCTTCTACCATGCCCCGCAGTTCGCGATTCTCGACGAGTGCACTTCGGCCGTTTCCGTGGACGTCGAGGGTAGCATGTACAGATACTGCAGAGAGGTTGGCATCACCTTGCTCACCGTTTCACACCGGAAGTCGCTGTGGCAACACCACGAATTCGTTCTCCAATTGGACGGCAGAGGAAGCTACACCTTCGACGAGATCGACACTCACACCGAAGAGTACGGCTCGTGAATCAGCACACACCCTTAGATAAACATATTTATATAAATTATAATGATACATATTTAGTCCAGATTGAGAATATACATACGGATTTTTTTTTTTCTATAGATGAATCTATATTCTGTTGTACGACAATAATTGCAATCACCATCACCGACGCACCGGAAAGAGAAAACGCTTGGCTTGTAAACAAACCATGGCAACAAGAACATAATACGATCAATCAACTGCGTAACGCAACATCAAACCTTCATATTTAAGTAAACGACCAATCAAATTAATTCCAGGAAATTGATGTAACAACATTAGAATAACAAAAAACAACTCAGGCAACCAAACTACATTTAATAAATTTGCTTTTCACAATTAAAAGCAAACGAATTGAACACATTTGAATACAAACAAATTCAATATTGTTGATTAAAACGTAATCAATCATAAATAAATGTCGTTTAACGAACGCAACGATAAACACTTAAATCGCATGAAACGTAACGCCAAACCTCTTCGTCGTTTGCTGTCAAATTAATTGATTGTTAATTATTTAACATTGTTTACTTCTTGTACATTAATGTAATAACTGTTTTACTTGTTTTGTTATGTATTTTATAACGTTCGTTTATTTGATATCGATTGTACATTTTATGGTCAACCATTACTGTAATCTCTGTTACATAATATGAATGTGTTTCTGTTAACTGTGCAATATATATTATATCGAATAATAAATATTTAATTATGTTACGTAGGCTGTTTTTGTTTTTTGTTTCTATAGCAACGATTGGAGGTGGGAAGGTTTAATCAATTAAAGAGCGGTAACCATGGTTATAGAAGTTTGTTATCTAATCCGCTTCCTTCTTGTTCGTAAAATACGTAAATAGATGTTTTTTTTTTGTGTTTGTTTCTGTTATGCAATATCGCTGATTCAGGCTTAGATAAATCTATGTACGTGTAATGATTCTAAATACGGTTTAGTTGCAATTAACAAAAAAAATAATAGTAAACCTTGGACTTCAAAAACAAATGATGTTTCTTGTTTCTGGTGCGCGCGCGTCAGATGGCTTCGGAAACGCGGAAGAGATTAAGTCTTAAATAACGACTGGTCTCGTTTTACGTTCCGCAGTTAATTGGTTCAAAACGATCATAATCATAACGTGACATAACACCTAAACTATTACATTGAAATTTGGTTTTTAATTCAAAATCTGGTTATGATTTTCGCTTTCACAGTCGTAAAATAACAGCAACAACTGTTTTCAAGTAAATCAATTGTTTTTTTTTTGTTTCGTTCCACATCTTCTGATTGGTCCGATGCACTTTTCTTCCATTGTCATGGAAACTGTACAAATAGGAATGTCTCCATTCTTTCGCCTTCTCGATCAAACCGATGAACAAATATTTCGATCCCGTTCAAATGGATGCGCGGACGGTTAACTAGCTAAAAAGTAGTTTCAAAAGTGGCATCAAACAACTCAACAGTTTCTCAACGTCGAAGAAGACAACGCTCGGAGGATTTCCGTCTGGATCAATGGCCGGACGCAACATTGCACACACACTCGTTGCGCAACGCTATCAATTAGCGGTAGACGACGAGAAAACAAATCAAATAAGATCTAGCGTTCGTAAAATCAATTGTTTTTTCTTGTTTTTGTTTCGCAATATGGCGCAATATCGCCTGTCATTGACGGTGACGCCATTTTGTTGCATCCATTTTGTTTAATTCAAATGTTCAATTGTTTTCATTTTTGTTTCTGAGCATTTTCAAAGTCCTAATCTGTTGACGTTTATTGCATTTCACGGATGACAGTACTGAAAATCATCGATAACTCGATGATTACTTAACATTTCTTGACGTTTTATACGTCGTTAGTTGCGTAAACGGAATCCCTTCGATATGTAAATAATTTTGATTGATTTCTGTTTCGCTTTGTTGCTATGAATTCGTTTGTTCTTGGAGATCGGCCATCATTACCATGGTTACCATTCGTTGTTGTTGTTTCTTTTTCTTCGCCTTCTTTGTTTTTGCGCGTTGTGTTTTGTTAATAGTGAAACGCTGTTTCTCGTGTCGATGACAAATCGATTCGCGATTGAGTCACGCGCTTTTATTCAACAACTACACCTCACCTCACTCACTTACTTAGTTAGTCATTAGGAAAACACGATTTCAAACCAGTTTTCATTGAAATTTCCTGTATCAAAAAGTTACGTTTTCTCTCGCTCTTAGAGATGCTAAAAAGTTTATTGACCGTTATCAGATGTTGATCGAAGGAAGCTGTGATGCAAAGCCTGCTCGACTTGAGAGCGAGTTTACTGTGTCAATGCCGGACGGGCTGCCTCGATTCCTTTTCGTTGATTTTTCACCTCGCACAAGGACACCACTAAATCATTGACATTTTACAACGAGAACACAGAACAAACACGTACAAATCTCAAAAAAAAAATAGACATTGACTTACTTACTTTACAACTTACAGCTCGAGCCAACAAAACTATCGCAATTAATTGCACACGAAATTGAAGAGGAATGTGTACAGATTAAAACGTGATTTAAATTTTTCCTGTGACTTTTATAATAACTGAGAAAATTGATGAATTAGCAAAACATGATTATTACTAAATTTAACAAATAATTGTTAACATTTTCTTTAGAATCTGATAAAAGAATGTCCAACGAATAAAATGAGCTATTAACTTTAATTGTATCACTTATAGTTATTGAGATAAATGATGAAACAAAAAAATTGAATTAAAAATTTGTAATTCATTCGAAAACAAAAATGTCTCTGTAACCAAGGAAACCAAGGAGCGTATTTTTTGTTTTGTTTTAAGGTCGAAACCGTTCATTTGCATACGAATCCATAAACGAATTTTCGAAAATAGCAACGAAAAATCTCCATAGAAACGAACGAGACACGTTCTGAAAACAGAAGAGATTCACATCAATCAAAGCGTACTTAAGTAACGAACAAACAAAGAGATCGCGTTAAGTAACTTGAGTTGTTTTTGTTTTGTTTGATCGTAAACAGTTGATCGATTATTAACAATTCGAATAGTCTCTATCGCCTAGCAACGCGGTAACTTTAGATCGATTATTCAACAATTGTTTTTTTGTTGGTTGCTTAGTTACAACACGATTTTATTTATTTGACAGGGAAGCTCAGCTGTTCTTACTCAACTGCAGTTATTTTTTTTTGTTGAAACTATTTTCGCGTAAATTGCATTTATAATTGGATTTGCTAATTAGTCGAGATTCCTCGGACGCGTGCCGCAGACATGTGACCCGCTCTCTTTCGCTTCATCGAGGAATTTTCATTACGTAGACTTCACTTAATATTGGCTAATTAGTCCGCTACATGCAAACTAATAAATCTAAGCTTACAAAATTTTATCAAATTTTCAATTTCAATTTTCTCTAAAATTTTCCAATACAACCTAAACCTTTTTCACTTGCTTAAAGGAAAGCATTCTTTCCTGAATAGAATGAGACTAATTTCAAGTTCGTATCTTCACTTTAAAGTTGTCGTTACGTCACTTTAAAGTTGTCGATGTAAAAAATTGACGCTTCTTTAGATTATTGCACTTATCGCGAAATTGACGTAATTTTTCCAATTATTTTTTTTCATATAATTAATAACAAATAATCTGCGATTAAAATAAGCTCACTTACGTCTTGATATCTCTAATAGAAATCGAGTAATATGCTTTCAAATTATTTTTTTTAATATCAATCAATTTCGCAATTCGCAATTATATTAACGAGATCACTTAATCAACTTATATAACGTTTGTATTTAAAAAAAATCAGTATCTTTCGAACCAAATATGATATATCTATATATATATAGTTTGCATATATCTTTAATGGTCGTTGAGTAATAATCTCCAAATTTGTTGTGGAACGACTTTCGTGGATTTCATGGGTTTCTTCGATTACACTCCAAATCCATAGCATTAACCCAATTGTTTTATTACGGATTATCGGAGGCGAACAGTTGAAGTATAAAAATACACACACACATACACAAATGGTTACCAACCTAATTATATATCTTGATATAAAGCTTTCAAAATTTAAGTTTTAGTACACAATACATTATTGATGTTCTTTTACATTTTTCTTTAAAATTATATAAACGACCAACAAATTTTGTTTTAGAATATTAAACTTAAGTAATTAAAGAATAAAATGAACGAAAAATGAGTTTTCCAACTTATATATACTTGAAGTTATAAGCTTTTCAAATTGAAGTAACCAAAGTCCACTTTTCATTCACAAAACACATCTTCACTTTTTATCAATTAACTCAAAATCTACGTAATTAACATACATATTTCATAACAGATAATCAAAGCTAAATAAGTAAAGAACAAAATAAATAAAAATTGAGATTTCCAAATTAAATATACTCGAAGTTATAAGCTTTTCAAATTGAAGTAACTAATGTCCACTTTTCATTCATATAACACATCTTCACTTTTTATCAATTTTCTCAAAATTTAAGTAACTACGTAATTAACATACATATTTCATAACAGATAATCAAAACTATAATAAGTAAAGAATAAAATGAACGAAAAATGAGTTTTCCAACTTATATATACTTGAAGTTATAAGCTTTTCAAATTGAAGTAACCAAAGTCCACGTTTCAACCATCTCACTTTTTATCAATTTTCTCAAAATCTACGTAATTAACATACATATTTCATAACAGATAATCAAAGCTAAATAATTAAAGAACAAAATAAATAAAAAATGAGTTTTCCAAATTAAATATACTTGAAGTTATAGCTTTTCAAATTGAAGTAACCAAAGTCCACTTTTCATTCATAAAACACATCTTCACTTTTTATCAATTTTCTCAAAATCTACGTAATTAACATACATATTTCATAACAGATAATCAAAGCTAAATAATTAAAGAACAAAATAAATAAAAAATGAGTTTTCAAATTAAATA